CCCTCACGTGCATATCTTGCGACTAAGTGGGCATCTTGGCCAGGGGCCCTAGCCGTTTTGTGTTTTGCTTGCCGCTGGTATGCTTGCTGTTGGCTCGTCCCCGGTCGAGAAAATCTGTCGATGCGGTTGGTTGTGGTCTGGCGGCGCCGCCTTGTCTGCTTGGTCTGCGCTTAGGCGCCAATACGCGTGGCTCTGTGCAGCACCTTGATCGACTAAGCCTTGGCGAGCTCTGCCGGCCTACCATTCCACGTCACTGTGGATGGCGGATGGGGATTTCTAGCGGGGTGGTGAACCGGATGGGATGGCGATGGCATCACGGCGGGCTTCAGGAGAGCGGCGGTGTCTCAAGGGGCGTGTGCGTCACTCAAGCTCAGCCGGCCCTAGCCTTGCCTGACCTGACTCGGCCGTATTCAACTCGCAGAGTCATTCATCCGTTCCTCCAGGTATGTCGGTGACACAAGAACCCAGCTATCGCATGCTCATCGTTCTGATGCTACTGCACGGCATAGCGCCATTGATCAACTTAGCCTTTCCTCAGCTACTATTCCCTAGCCTTGTTTATCACTCGTCTCCATCTTCTTCATTCTTCATGTCACTGATTTTGGAATTATCCACTTCCCTGGGCTGGAGGCCGCCAGATTGACAACCAGCATATCGTGGTCATTACGTCGTTGTCACATTGATTATTGCTACGAGGCGTCACGCCGTCTATCTGGCTGGGGTCATTGCGGTCCAAGAGCTGAGTTTTCTTGCCAGCCTTGCCAATTCAATTACAGCTCATCATGTACGGAGTGCGTTCCCTGTGAATGGCATGGATTGGTACATACGGCTCTGCAGGGCACCATGTCCATGGCCTAATCTAACCGGCATAGAGACACATTGACTTGTCCGGGAGGTACCTGCACCTACGTTCATCATGTGCTAGAGCAGCTACGGTATTACAGCGAAATGACCGCCCCATTGTACCTACATATGCGTAGAGGAGGATCTATCCGAGCGGGAAAAGGCATGAACTTGGAGCCGACTCGTCCAGGCCGCATGAGAACGACACCGCCTACAGCAATACAGGTACGTGTAGACTGGTTTCTCCATAGCCCGTTCGCCCATTACCCACACCCACTTGGCCTCCCGACCCGAACCTCGGCTCCGCTGGGTTTCAGACCGGCATGGTGACCCTCTTTCGGACGGCCTGAAAGCGGACCTGGACGGAGCGAACGGCGGAGAGTGGAGAGAGGCGGACGGCTGATGGACTCGAGGGACAGCGGCGTGCCAGAAGTGAGCAATGGTCAATTGAGCGGCATGCGAAGGAGGAGGTGGTGCATTTGGGAGCGGCGACGCAGCAAAGCACGCTGGCATGGAAACCGGGAATAGACCAGGTGACGCAAACGTGTGATATCGACCAGGCCTCATGTTTGGGCCGCTGGCGACGGAGCGTCACGGCCACCACACGGCCATCACACGGCCAGCCCCATACGAGGCCGCAGCTACGTCGCGTCCCTCGAGTGATGCAGGCATTGCCACCCCTCGCTCGCCATGTCCTCGGACGGCTCATGCTACGAGTCACACCGACTTGCCCTGGCCAGCTGCATTGCGGGCGGTTTGATGGGGACGATTAGTCGCCATACCCTCCCGGCCTGGTCCTTTCTGCCAACGTTTCGCCCTGCCGCCCTGTCCTTGTTTGTGCCAGCGTGCACAGCGTGCGGAAATGCTCCGAGGCGTGTCTGGTGACTACTCACACCGCAGCATGTCGCTGAATACAGAGCGGACTGGTGCGTCCAGGCATGCCCGTCATATGCCCTGCAGGACAATATTTTGCTTTTGGGCGCGTTACTCGGGTCAGGGAGAAAATGCACTGGTTCCAGCCTAACAGATGCTTTCTTAGGCAAACGAGGCTGAGCTGGCTTGCTCGGGCCCGAACCCCTGTCCATGGCCTGTCCTGGAGCACTGCAATAGTATATGCAAGACTCTTGAGCCCTTCTTCCCCTCCTATGACGAGCACCGCCGCGGTGGAGTCAGCTGCGATGGCACAGAAACCATATCCCCAGACGATCTTCAACGCTCCGCTTATCGAGGTTGTCTTGCGAAGGCAAGACGGGCCGGAATCTCGAGGTCGCAGCGTCCAGTTTCATCCATCTACCGCTCGAGGAAGTCGGTGAGCTGGGATGCCTCCAACCTGCGGCCTGGATCGACGAATCTGGGTCGCTTGAGTCGCACCTGAGCCGAGTCGCCTATGATGAGTGGGGACTGATATACTGGTGCAGCCACCTGCAACCATGCAGGTAGTTGCTTTGGCGCGTGCCCAGATATCCCTCTATGGTCACTTCGCGATTCCTAGATGCATGTCTCACAGCATGCGGTGACCTTCAGGTCGTCCAAGGAGCGGCCGACAGATATTCATATGTATGTGCCTATGACCGTGCCATGGCACGGCTTTAGCACCACCCCCTCTATCAGAGAGAGCAAAGCACCGGCTGGAATACATGTGTGCGCGCGCACGGTGTTGCTATGGCATGCAGCCATACATTAGCGCGCTGAAGTCGATACATGTGGTGAGGGCATATCTGTGCACTAAGGCTTCCCTGGTGCAGTATCTCGATTCTACTTGCAACCTGTGAGGTAGATCATTGGGATCTGACTGGGGCACCGTCTTCAGCCCATTATGAGCTGTTGACTCCCAAGCAGTTGCCCAATCTCTTCTCACGGAATGCAATCTCCGTCAGGCTAGTTGCCATGTATTGTTACGGCAGCATGGGGCCAGCCGTAGGAAGACAGGGACGGCCGGATGGATAAGGCTCCAGCCCACCATCCACCGCATCGTCCCCTCGTTTCTCACTCAGCCCGACGCATCCTGACCGACGGGACGTGTCGGTGGCTTTCGGTGGGATCCTGGTACGCCTTTTGTCTCGTGTTTAGTCTCACTCTCGCCAAACTCGATGGGTCCTGAGGCAAAGGGGCAGTCAGCATGGGGGAGTGAAACCGTGCCCTGCCTGGACCGGAGGGAGTGATGATGGCCCGGTCCGGTTCATTGCAGTTCAGTCCAGCGCAGCCCAGTCCAAAGTCCATCCCCACATTATCACTGGTCCAATATATGTAGGTATCATCATGGCCATATCACAGCGCAGGAAAACCGGTCCCGCTTCTCGGCACCATCCAGCTCATCACACATAATCCATCCGCCCACCCACTCAGCCGCTTCTGGCGGCCAGTTAGAGGTCCTCTACACGTCCTCGTATCTTGTTTTCTGGTCTATGCGTTCCTCGCCAACCCCAACTTGTCACTTACACCTCCCCTAGCCCGTTGTCAAACTACCCTCGTCCTTGTCAATGCGTGATGGAGGTGTTCATCCAGTCCCCTCCTCCCCGCAACGGTCTTCTTTCCTCTTTCACTTGCAGGTGATAAGTGAGGAGGGAACAACGAGCAGGATCAACCTGAGAAAAGACGGGGAATGGTCAGCACGGGCCACTGGCCAGCTGTCGCTGCCCAATTCTTTGTCTACCTCCCGCATCAATGGAGGGGGGGAAGGTTGATGACGGCGTTAGGACGAGGCATGATCACCGACTTATGACGAGCAAGTTACGAAGGACAAGTCTTGGCTCTGGACGTGTTTCGACAAGTACCCGTGGGTGTGGGTGTGCTGGCCAGCATTGTAACGCCGCTCCCCCCAAAAGGCCAACTCTCACGCCCTACGTTCTACCTTCCAAGGGAGTGTCGTTTTCCTTCTCCGGCTCCTCGAGTGTTGTCTTCCGATAGGACAGGACTGTCCAATACTTTGACGTTGTCAGACCGGTTTTGCTCTTTGGGTTCCTGCTACGGTCCTTCTTTGAGTCCCCTGCATTGCTCTGTGTCCATTGTGCGGTGCCAAAGCAGCGCCCAAAATGCAAGCGAGGCCTTTGGGACGAGGCATTGCTCGACCCTGCTGTGTGAAGTGGTTGGGACCTTTTGTCACACTTCAAGGCTTCGAGGTACTTCCGACGCCGGTGTCCTTGCCCATTCCCTCGTCTGTAATCAGGTCTTTGTCACTCAGAATTGCTTTGACTGCCGTAGCTCTTATTCCCGTTATTATCATAGCCAGTATAACGTATAGTAGAGCGGTATTGTACGAGTAGCATTAACAGGATATCCCAGTCGGAATCCGAGAATATCCAGCTTCTGGGCGGCGTCACTTCCTCGCCTCGTCGTAGCGGTGTAGGTAGGCAACTGCTATCCAAGCTGCCTCGGAATGTTCCATTTCTCTCCCCTTTTTGCTTTATATTTCAATCTATTCTAGTCGAGGACAAACATACGTGACAATACGATGTCTATTGTATCTTTGGCATTGTACAACTCTCTCACCATGATTGTTATCAAAGACGGCCGCACTCAAGACTTATCAAGCAGTATTGGAACTTCCCTTCATCATTCTTTGGTGCATTGTCAGCTATTCACAGTACGGTTCTATCTCAATTACATCATTGAGCCTCTCGTCTACTACCGCACATTATGATTCTTACCCCTCACCACAGCCAAACACCTGATGCCTGTCTGACTTCGGCTGTTTTGATTCCGAGTTTACTTTTTCACTCGAAGACAGACCCAATTCCAAGTTTATGTCCCTCTTAGTGAATCGTCTACTTCTACTGCCATTAGTATGGCATTGAGACACGCATTCGCAGACTTGAGTATGCCTTTATATGGTCGGAAGTTACTCTCCCAAGTCACTTTCACGCATGAACAGATACGAACAGGTACCAAAAGGAGGCAAAATCATGCTCCAAAGTCTCTTTTGGGTATCTCCATGACGAACCATCATGGTACTGAGAAAAATAGTATCCGCCCCGCCCATTTGCACCGTGTTTATACTCCGTATCGTACAAGTATACATATCTGTATATATATTGATCCCCAAGTTTTGCTCTCCATTCGGGGGCCGACCGATTACCCCTGAGTCAAATACTGGCCAAGTGATGATGCCCGTAAAAACTGTACGCTAGTGAATGTGTGCTGGTGAAGAAGACACCAGTTTACCGTGCCACCGCAGCCCGGAACCGGAACCCATCCCAGTCATCTTCATCCTCGTCCTCCTCGTCCTCCTCGTCCGAGCCTTCCTCCGCCACGGCGGCGTTGCCCGCGTTCTCCTTGCCCAGTAGCGTCTTTGTCTTCTGCTGCGCCTCGACGGAGTCCTGCTGGCCCTGGCTCTCCGCCCGACGCCGCCTGAGTGCGTCCCTCTGCTCCTTCAGCCGCAGCACCTTGGCCTCGAGGTTGTTCATCTCGTCCATCTCGTCCTCGAACGCCCGCCTGGCATCCTCCTGCTCGGCGGCGAGCTCCGCCTCGAGCGCCGTCTTCCGTCGACGGAGATCGCCGTCGTCTTCCTCCTCCGCTCCAGCCTGTGCGGCCGCGGACTCGGCGGCGGTCATGGCCGGGGCGGAGATTGTAGCTTCGTCCTGGTCGTAGGAAGCGGCTTCTATGTCCGCCTCGAAGGCGGCCCACTCGTCCTCGTCGACCTGGGGTTTCTGGGCGTCGGTCTTGCTGGTGTTGTTTCCCGTTGCCGAGGAGGTACCAGTAGCAGTCTGCTTCGGCACTTGGTTCTCGGGAATCGGCGTGGGTACACCAGATAGCTGGGCGGTGCTGGCCTGCCGTGAAGGGAGTGTCTTAGTGGTGGAGGCGGAGTTCGAATTGGAGTCGCGCGGCGTGGCTGGCCTCGAGGGTATTTGGACCTCGACGCCTTGGGAGGGTGTGGTGGAGGAGCGGCGTGTGAGAGAAGGAGGCGTAGATATCTGATCCAGCTGCTCTTTCGGGGTGCCGTTCTGCCCGCTGGCTGTCGAGGGAGGGCCCTTGGTGCTGCCGGTGTCGTCTGGACCGGCGCCGGAGGCAGGAGAGGCAGTCTCTGGACGGCTCCGTTTCCTCCTCGCCTGGGACTCGGGGCTGTCCGCGGCATCGCCCATCTCCTCGTCCTCGTCGAACTTCCTCTTGTGGGCTGCTGTCGTCGGCTGGGGCGCTGCTATCGAGGATTCATCGTCTGGCTGCTGCTGGTGCTGCTGCGCGGACGCCCGCTTCCTGTGGCCTTCGCTCTTCAGGTGAGGCTCCCATAGGTTCTCTGACCGGACCTGTTCGCGGCAGAGGGTGCAGAGGAGCTTCCCCGTGTCGGAGTAGGCGGCCTGTGGGTGTGTGATGCGGCGGGCAGCCCGTTGCTGGCGCAACAGGGCGCGAGCGTCGGCCATATCTGGGGCTAGAGTCTTGGCTTTCTGTTCCTTCTCGCTCGAGGGCAATTGGGGTGCGTGGGAGGTGGGCCGTATCTCCGCAGGGTTTCAGAAGAGACGTTGTAAAATGGGAAGGATCCTGAGTGCGGGGAGCGAGACGAGGGACCAGGGCGATGGAATTGTGTTTTGGCAAACTGGGGATGTCTAGCTGAAGGGAAGAGGAATGAATGGAGGGTCTTGACGTTGGACGTAGCGAGGTTCCATTGGTTTAGCGCCGCTCGTCGATTAGATAGCGCGTGGGGACCGCTAGCAGAAGCACTGGCCGCCCACTGGCCACCGCTGGACTCGCCTACGAACAGGCGCTGCAGGGGACTGGGCTGATCTCGAGCGCAATGTGAGCACCAGCGAGCATGACACGACAACAATGGTGTGATATTTGGTTGCTGATGGATCTCCATATGCACATGCACCTGATATTAAGTTCACCAACGCCTGCATAATGAAATTGACTGCGGCGTTCCAGTGTCTCACGTCCTATGTCACCGCGCTTAACAGAGCTTCGGGTGGGTCGCCCCAGTTCCGTGGATTAGCCGGCGCAATCCAAGCGTCGATCATCTTATCGCTATCAAGCATAACTTAACCTGTAGCTTTCTTTTGGCACAAGTTGACCAACTCGTGCTACACCATCACGAGCTTGCACCCAGACGCAGATGGTCATCTCCATCTCCATCTCCCCCCCTTCTATGCACACAGTCAGATGAGGTGACCAATTCGGCGCCCGGCTTGAACAATGGCCGACCAAGAACAGTCCACCAGCTCAACCTTTCCCAACCCTCCACCCTTCTGGCAGGACTTCACCCCAGAGAACCTCACCCGCATCGAACAGCTACGCAAGTCCTTTGCAGAGGCAAATCCCACCCGCGATGTACCGACACGCCTCCCAGTCATACCCGAGTCTCTCATAAACCTACAGCCGCCGGCAGAGCCCAAGGACGGACGATTCAAGATATTCGGAGAGCACTACACGGTTCGAACTCAGAATATCCTCATCTCTCATCTACCCACGGGCTGACAAAAGCATAACAGCTAGAAAATAAGCTCGTAACCCTCGAGGAGACCGGCATCAAAAACCTCGCACCCACCCACCCCTCCCGCCAGGGCGACAACGCCAACCCCAGCTCCTCCCTCAACCGCAGGGACGTCCCCCACACCGACCACGCCCTCGAGCTCAAGCGCCTCGCCAAGTCCCTGCTCCTCAACTTCCTCGAGCTCGCGGGCACCCTCTCCATCAACCCCGGCGACGGCCCCGCCAAGGTCGCCGACCTCGAGACATTGCTCTTCAACATCCGCCACGCCCTCAACGAGTACCGCCCCCACCAGGCGCGCGAGTCCGCCGCCGAGCTCATGCAGGAGCACCTCGACCGGACGAGGCGCGAGACGACGGCCATCCGGTCCCAGGTCGAGAAGGCGAGGAGGGTGCTCGAGGGGCTGGGCAGCCTGACCATCCCCGCCGAGGCTGAGCGCGGGGCCGCCGCCGCCGCCGCGGGCGAGGACGCTGCGCAGGTGGCGGAGGAGCTGAGGGAGCTGGATAGGCGGCGTGATGCTGAGCTTTGGGCCGCGACGGATGCTGCGTTTACGTAGATTGGACGGGTGGGAGGCTACCTATCATGGCATCATGAAATTTTAGAATTAGAGGGGAACTAGAGGATGAAAAGCTGATCATCTTCGTTCAGCCTTCATCGTAGTAAAAGGGTCAGCTGAGGCCTATCAAACCCTCAAAGATTTTAATGTGAACAGGCAGAAATGGGTTCTAGATACCCTTGGTAGGGTTGATTGGGCAAAGCATGAATAACAGTCTGCGGACATCAACTTGATAGGAAGAGAAACACGCGATGAATAAAAGTTAAATATCGAAGCTATCTTACGTGCCTATGAGGATTCATAACGAACGGGCAATCTTTTACGTCCCATTCCTCCAAACAATAGTCCCCCTCCAAGCCGGGTATATGAAGATCTAACATAAAGCGGAAACATGAGCCCAAAGTTAGAAGATGAAGGGTGGGTAGACAAGATAACTACACCCCATAACGCCGAGTGTCCAAACCAGCTCCTATTCCTCTTCGCAAAGGAGCTTTAAAAATGGCTCTTCCCGCTAAGCTAAATGTTACATCCTCTTTGCCTAACAGCAGTCATATGAAACAATTCAAAGTCACGGCTTCAAGAACCTATCGTGCTCCAGCTGACCTTGGCTCCTTATCCAGCAACCCACCCAGATACTGTAAATCGTCACGCGCTCTGGGATCTCTCTCGTATATATTCTTGATAACTTCCCATTCCTTTCGAGACATCTGCCATGCCTGAGGGATGAGAAACTGGGCCGTCGGCGCACTGATATACTGCGGCCCGAGCACCTCGTGAGCCATGGCTTGACCAAGTTGCTGCGCCTGATGACGCTGTGCCTCCGACATCTGCGACGGCTGCTGTTGAGGGGGTATTGGTTGTTGCTGGTGTGCCTGCTGTGGGTGTGGGTGTTGAGCAGGATGTGCCTGAGGATATTGCTGGTGCTGGGCTTGTGGTGGCTGGGGCACAGGAACTTGTCCTTGCACTTGGGGCGCATGTTGAGGCGCGAGCTGTCCTGGGACAGCGGAAGGCGAACCAGATGGCCGTGGGCGGGTGTATGGAGGCTGCGGGATGGGCACCGGCGTCTGAGGATGAGCAGCCGCATTGAAGCCGCCATGGGACGCCTGAGGCGTTGCTGGAGAAAACGCGGGTCCAGACACCGACTGGCTGCGTTGGGGACCACCGCCTTGTGGTGTTGGCGTAGGTGTCGCTGATGCGTTGGATGGTGTAGGCGGCGTGGTGAGCTTGAGTACGGCAGGATCACTACGGTAAACAAAGACCGCCAGCAACATGGGCTCTGTTCGGATTTTTGGGATGTGATTGTCGGCCAAGTTCAGCATGAACTCAGGATAGTTGTCCTCGCCAGAGAGAACCGGCACAAGGTACGTATCGCGGACATTTCCAGCTACCTTGTCGCCAACAACACCATATCGCTTCTTGCTGACAAAATACTCAATCATCGCCGTGAACTCGGGGCGAGCTTCAGGGGTGGCGGGCTCAAGGTTGACAACAATGACATCCGTATAGCTGCTATACCGCAGGCCGCAGAGGTACTCGACCGCGTTCTGCTGTTGAATGCGGCCAGCTACACTCATTCGCTGGGGTATCAATTTGGACCACGGCCCAATGGAGCTGAAGTTGGCGCCTCCAATGTGTTTGGCGGTTGCTTGAAAGTTGGCGATGGTGCTCATGGCCAGCATTCCACGCCAGACAACATCAGGGTCCTGTGCTTCCTCCGTTGGCGAATAAGGCGGCGAATCATTTTCATCTTGGAGCATGCGGTCCACATCAGGATCCTCGCCAGGACCAGTAGGTTGAGACACGGGCGCTGACGGACGCCGGGGATGGGAGATGGAAGGCGAGCGCACACTGGAGAAGACCTTGCCGATGTCGAAATTGGACTGGGTAGGCGAGTGTTGAGGCTGGGTGTCATCTCTCTGAGGAGATCCTGGTTGGGGATGGATCTGGTCGTTGGCATCGACAGACTCGTCCTTAATGGGCTGTGTAGGTGGTCCGCCACCTGGTGGTAGCGGCATTGGTTCATCGTTGGCGTTGGGTAAATTATCGTCTTCAACAACTTCCTCGCCCTTGTGTGTCCGTCGCACTCTGGGTCCCGAGTCTTGTGTGAGCAGTATTGACTGCTTTTCAACCCTCGCTTTCATCTCAGCTGTCTGGCGCTGCAACTCGGCAGAGGCTAGCTGGTCAGATGTCATAACAGCCAGCCCGGGAGGAGTGTGTACACCTTCCAGCAGTCCACGAACCAACTCTGGGTTGTTCTTCAGGTTGAACGTCAACGACTTTATCTGCTGACTGTATTCCTTCTGTCCCTTGGCCATGCCTGGATGTGTGTCGTAGACTGCCCGTTCGATCTGAAGTGCCGACTTTTCGGCCATGCTGTCCACCGTCTCCCCTTCTGGTACTTGAAGTCTCTTGTGCTTTGCCATGTCTGACAAGACATGAAGAATAGACTTCTTCAGTGCCTTGCCAGGCCCAGTACGGGTGCCAGGGAGCTCTTTGATTGTCTCGGGAATATTCTCTGGCGCCGTATACTTCTGGGGCTTGATGGCAGCTGGTTCAGCAGAAACACGCCTAACCTTGGGTGGCTATATCCTATATCAGCTCATGTCACAGGAAATTGCGGTTGAGGTGAAATCTTGAATGGGGTGCTTACCTTTCCATCCGCTTCTTGTGAGCCTTCGCGGTTCTTTCGCTTCCCCTTGCCAGTCGTTTCCGCGGGGGCTTCAGCGACAGCTTCTGGGGAGGGCTTTGCCTTTGCTTTAGCGGCTTCTTGCTCCTCTCTTACCTTTGCCTCTGCCTTTTCGATCTCGAGTTGTCGTTGCCGCTCCTGCTCCTGTTCCTGTTCCTGCTTCTTCTGCTTCTCAATCTCCCTTGCACGCTCTTCTTCTTGTTCCTTTGCCTTTTTCTCCTCCTCAGCCTTCTCCCTTTCCATCTGTTCCTCTTTCACTCTAGCTTTTTCCTTCTCTGCCGCTATTTCTCTCTGCCTCTCTCGTTCTTTTTCTTCTTCTTGTCGTTGGCGCTCCTTTTCCTGTTCCTCTTGTTGTGCCTTCTCCTTCTGTTTCTCGGCTTCTAACCTTTGTCGCTCATCCTGGGCTTTTTCCTTTTCCTTCTCCTTTTCCTTTTCCTTCTCCTTGGCCTTATCTTTCGGGTCAGCGGCTCGTTTCCCCTTGCCTCTTCGACCCCCCTTCTTCTTCTTTTTGGACTCCTGGGCCTCCTTTTCCTCGTGAGCTTTGCGCCTGGCCTCCCATGGCTTCTCGCCTCTGGCTATCCCTTCCAAGAGCTCCTTGTGGGCATCCGGGCGGCATTGCTCACACCAGTAATGGTCAGGGATCTCGTCTTCGAACGAGCTGACGCCAACACAAACATTGTGCTGCCAGGCCAGG